ATCGAGATTTTGGGGGCGTTGAAGTGTCCGACGTCGGTGTCCAGGGGTTTTGGGTTGAAATCGTGAGGGTTTGGGGTCTGGGGGTTATTTTGGGGTTTTAGGATTTTCAGGATTTCAGGGTTTTCAGGAATTTCAGGGATTTAATGATTTTCAGGGTTTCAGGATTTTCAGGATTTCAGGATTTCAGGGTTTTCAGGGTTTCAAGGATTTCAGGGATTTTCAGGGTTTCAGGATTTTCAGGGATTTCAGGGTTTTCAAGAATTTCAGGGATTTTAGGGATTTCAGGATTTTCAGAGATTTCAGGATTTCGGGATTTTCAGGATTTTCAGGATTTCAGGATTTCAGGATTTTCAGGATTTCAGGATTTTCAGAGATTTCAGGATTTTCAGGATTTCAGGATTTCGGGATTTTCAGGGATTTTCAGGATTTCCAAGAATTTCAGGATTTTCAGGGATTTCAGGATTTCAGAAATTTCAGGATTTCAAGATTTTCAGGATTTCAGGATTTCAGGATTTCAGGATTTTCAGGATTTCAGGACTTCAGGGATTTTCAGGGATTTCAGGGATTTCAGGGATTTCAGGAATTTCAGGATTTCAGGAATTTCAGGATTTTCAGCCCCTCGGTCTGGGTTGCCAATAGAAGGGTCTTGACACAAAATGGGGAAATTTTGACCCAAAAATCACTGAGTTCTGACCCAAAACCATCAAATGTTGACCCAAAAACATCAAATTTTGACCCAAAAACCACCAGGATTCCCCCAAACCCCAGATTTTTTTGCCAGAATTCCCATTTTTCCTGTCAGAATTTCCATTTTTTTTCCGTAACTCCCATTTTTCCCCCCACAATTTCCATTTCGCCCCCCAGAATTCCTGGATTTTTTCTCCCAGAATTCCCATTTTTCCCCCCAGAACTCCCAGATTTTTTCCCCATAATTCTCATTTTTTTTCCCAGATTTCCCATTTTTCCTGCCAGAATTCTCATTTTTCCCCCCAGAACTCCCGGATTTTTTACCATAATTCTCATTTTTTTTCCCAGATTTCCCATTTTTTTTCCAGAATTCCCATTTTCCCCCCTCCCCATGCAGACCTTGAGGTGGAAGTGCAGCACGATGATCATCTCCCCCAGAATTCCCATTTTCCCCCCCAGAACTCCCATTTTTTCAGCCAGAATTCCCGGATTTTTTGCCCCAAATCTCGTTTTTCCCCCCAGAACTCCCGGATTTTTTCCCAGAACTCCCATTTTTCCCCCAGAATTCCCATTTTTCCCCCAAAATTCCCATTTTTTCCCCCAGAACTCCCGGATTTTTTCCCAGAACTCCCATTTTTCCCCCATAATTCCCATTTTTCCCCCAGAACTCCCGGATTTTTTCCCAGAACTCCCATTTTTTCCCCCATAATTCTCATTTTTTTTCCCAGAACTCCCGTTTTTTTTCCAGAATTCCCATTTTCCCCCCCATTCCCATGCCTGCCTTGAGGTGGAAGTGCAGCACGATGATCATCTCCCCCAGAATTCCCATTTTTTCCCCCATAATTCTCATTTTTTTTCCCAGAACTCCCGTTTTTTTTCCATAACTCCCATTTTTTCCCCCTCCCCGTGCCTGCCTTGAGGTGGAAGTGCAGCACGATGATCATCTCCCCCAGAATTCCCATTTTTATCCCCATAACTCCCATTTTTTCCCCCATAATTCTCATTTTTTTTCCCAGAACTCCCATTTTTTTTTCCATAATTCCCATTTTTCCCCCTCCCCGTGCCTGCCTTGAGGTGGAAGTGCAGCACGATGATCATCTCCCCATCACAGGGCTGGAACACGGCGTGTTTGATGTTGTTGTACAGGATGTCGACCTTGTCCCCCCGCACCGACGTGAACCTGAACCCTGGGGGGCACAAAAGTGGGGAGGAGTTAATGAAATATGGGGGAAAAAACACCCAGATCTGATAAAAAACCCCAAATCTGATAAAAAACCCCAAATCTGGAAAAAAACCCCACACAAATCGGTGAAAAAATGAAAAAAATCGGTTAAAAAACCAAAAAAAAATCGGTTAAAAATAAAAAAAATCGGTTAAAATACAAAACGAAAAAATCCGTTAAAAAATAAAAAAAAAATCCGTAAAAAACAAACCCCAAATCTGATAAAAAAACCCAAATCTGAAAAAAAAAACCCACCCAAATCGGTTAAAAAATGAAAAAAAAAAGTTAAAAAACAACAAAAAAAATC